AGTGCGGACTTGCGAGTCAAGAGGTCCGAAATCACAAGAAATAGCTGGGAGGGTCAGACAGGTCTAGCCTGTTTAATCGGATTTCTGCTACATTCTCAAACTGAATCAAATTTGGTTCCGATGCGACAGAAGCAACTCGCCTAATCGACTACGATTTACAGTATTTGCCGCGGTATTTTCCGTGCACTGGTCTAACTCGGATCTCCTGACCACGTCGATAAGGAAACTGGGCACAGTTCGAATTGATAAGGAAGGGAGGGGCTCGCACTCAGCGCTTTACAAGCGTTGACAGATATTTTCCCACAAGAGCTGACAAGGAGTCTCTACAAACTTTCTCTGGTATCACTTCCTGGCTTCACAATTTTTCGCAGGCCTCCACTTGATTGGATGGAACTAATCTGCACAATGCTCGTTCCTCTCTCTCCCCCACTTCCCACGCCAAACCCCTCCCCAGGGTTCGGTCCTCACAGAAAAAAGCGCTGTCGCCACCCTCTCAGATTTGCCATGCTCAGTGCCGAGATTTCTGCAATGAAACCGCGATAACAAGGAAATTACCTTTTTCAATTTTGTGTTCTTCTCATTTTCCTTTCTGGGTGTTATTGTCGATACAGATGGCGTGGGCGTTTTGCTGATATCTTCTTTTGGTGGCTAGAATCGACCTTAGAAAATAGGCCAAATTCACCAAAAAAGTTCTCGGCTTCTTACCCCATATATGAGATCAATTAGCTCCCTCCGATCTCCAAGATCGATGCTTTCCATCACCATGCTGATACTGAGGCAATTACCTGAATTACCTGAAATTATAAGTTGGCAGGAAGATAATACATTCTGACTAAAAGTTACCACGATGAAGAGACCACAAAAACTTATCGTACAGCTAAAATGGTCGAGAGAATAAAAGGTCGGTCCACGCTGAGCGAGGGCTGAGTTAGGCCTATCTATGTGTCTGCGCCATTCTCCACTATTCACCACTGTTTCAAATAAAGTAGAGCGCATTAATAAGTGAGGCCTGACCCCGCCCTTACGACCAGTGTGGATGTACCAAGGAAATAGATGAAAAATAGAGCGCAGCACATTCGACCTAAGCTTACTGCACCACTGAAACATATAAATGAATGAATCATGTGAAATCGTTCTAAACGTTTTCCGGGGACCAACTGCACAGGTGAGTGATTACATCCTTCGAAGCAAGTTTTGTCTGGCGCGGTAAAACAGTAGCAAGCGCATCATGTAAACTCGTAATCCCAGACATGGGGTAGGCGTGGCTGCGTTTTTCAACTAAACGCGGCGGTAATGTGCTTTTGGAGAAATATTTCCATTCTTACACAAGTTGTTGGTTCGTGTCTCTTATTCCAACAGCTAAAACAAGATGACAGTTCCCTTCAAACTGAAAATATCCACGAGTGACCCGTTCTTGCCGATGCATTCAAATGCCACACCTGCTCCATCTCAGCAGGTAGAGTGTAATCTTTTTGGTACGTTCGCAACAATTCAGTATGTGATTTAGAATCAATTCGTCGAGTTCCCTCAGAAAAATGAGCCGTTTTCTGAAATACCGGTTGACAACTTGTTCCCGACCATAAGCCGGTGTGACCTTGAGCAAGAATCAGTTGCAGACCAGGGACACAGTTTAAATAAATGTATGACTATGTCCCACCTACAATCTGCGAGGATGGAAGCTGGTTTTGTGATTACTCTGGTGGAAAGACGCCTTGTGCAGAATTGATATCATCAGTATGCAAGTACCGTACTCCAAAATGGCCCACTTTCAATGGAGCTCCCTGCGCCCCTGAGATCACGGACCAAGTCCTCATCTCCATTCAGGTAATCTCTGCTTTGGGTGCAGTTCGAAGACGGATGGGGTGGGGGGCATACAGCATTTACGTTGCTTCACTAGTTCCAGTAAGTCTCACTCTGGTGAAACCGAACTCAGGTGAATGGAGCAAGCTCGTAGAGCCACCACGTTAAGAACTGTAACTCTTGTAAGCTCATGAAATAGCTCTCTAAATGACGTGAATGTCGACATGTCTATGAGAGCTAACCAAAAGTGCAAAATGCCCTCCCCGTCACGGCACTGCCCCCAGCTTTGCAGAGAGAGCCCTTCAAATGCACCAACGTCCTCCAAGGTTGTTAGCGCCATATGCTGTTTAGGCTGAGGAGCTACAAAATACGTCCGAGATTTGAAATTGGAAAATGCGAGCACTCTTTCGCATAGTGCCCCGATTTCATACAAGCTTGTTTGAAGCCGGACCAGATTTTGATCGAACTTTGTCCACTGGGAAAGATCGGGGTGGAAACGTGTTCTCGGGTGTGTGTGACCCTCTGAG